TAAGAATTATTCTATTGGATGTAGTTATTGTTTTGATTCAAATTCTTGTAGTATAAGTAAAGAAAATAACTTTCTCATGACTAGATGTTCACCATCTACTTCTTGTATTTTTTACTATCACAAATCAATTTGTACTGTTTATAATACAGGCTTTTATAAGTAATCAATAAATGAATGTCTTGGGTCTGCTCAAGGATACAAATATTGTATCAGTAGAACTATCTATTATGTGAAACCTCATACCACATCGCTGAACAAAATATCTGTAAAGGTAAACCAACCTTAACTTGTAAAGGGAATATCACTTCTAAATGATGTATTGAATGTGAAGATTGGTATTATTGATCTAACCATAAATGTCTAATGTATGTAACAAATTGGTTGTCATATGTTTAGTATATGCTAATAACTATTTATTAAGACACAGATAATGTAAAGAATTGAAAATGACATCTTTATATAAAACTATGAAGAATAATGTATTTCATGAACGTTTTTTTGGATATACTCTCAATACTGATAAAATAATTATTTTTGTATATTAAAACAAAGTGGATTTAGTGTTGGGAATGATAGTTCTTGTAATTCTATTAATAATCATAATGTCTATTTTAAATGCAAAACAATCATTAGAAAGAAGTCTCAAAATAAAGAAGATAGAAACACATTCCTCTTTCTAATGATTTGGATACTTATGAGACATTAGGATATGGTTTATTAATTAATAATTCATCAATTTCATGAACAATTTAGTGATTTATCTATTAAATGTGAAACAACTCAATTTATTAAGATTGTTAGTCTAACAAATGGTGCTCTTATTCTTTTCTTCAACCTCTATATTCATGTACTACCAATAACACAACAAACGTAATGTCTTCTTCTCAAACAAACAAAAAAATCAATAGCTGATCATCTCTCCCTCTAACTTTGAACATAACTCTGTGCTAATGCACTAGATATTGATGAAATTAAAACAACTTGAATTATCAACAAAACTAAATTTTCTACTATTTATCCTAAAAATTTTAGAGACACTGAAGTAACTATCAAGAAGTTCCATGAAAAATCTCAAACTTATAGTTAAAACAAATAATTCAATTCAGAAGTTTCAAAGAATTCTAACCTTACTTCTGAATATCTAATCAATTTCATTGAATGTCAAGAAGAATGCTATTCATTTCATTATTTGTGAATATGTCATTGTAAAAGTTTAGAAGAAGTCGTTGTTCTGGATAAATACTATCTCAATGAAAGTTATAGAAGATATCAAAAAAATTAATTATTTACATCTCAATTATTGTTTTCATGAGAATTTAAACCATCAAATTGTAATTCCAGTTAATAAAATTAATGCTACTGTAAGATTGATTATAATTGTAAGAAATCAAGAATATCATTAAGAGTAATCTTGACAATACACAAATTACTAATTATCCTTTTATTCTACTAGAATTAGATAACCAAATACAATATAAAATCTTCAGATGTCTTTTCATTAACAAGATTAATGTTGGTTGTTTGGAGTTGGAAATCTTTAAATTTTCTCTTCGAGATGACTAGATATAACAGAGAAACTTTTGCAAATAATATAATACCTTTTATAATAAATTATCTAAAATATCTTACAAGGATCATGGAAATAATGTAGAGTATTAATCTTGAAGATCTTTCAAGTTCTTACAGATAGTAGAAACTATAGAAAATATTAGAACCTCATTAAAACAATAATTCAATGAGGAGGAGTTTCTATTTTATTTGGAATAAGAGTTGGAGGAGTAATAGTTCTTCCTGTAAAGTATTCCAGTTGAAGACATTCTTCAGCAGAAAGTCTTTTATGAGGATCAGCCACAATCATATTTTCTAAAAGATCTCTAATCTCTTGTGAGAGACTAAAATATTTATCATCTTTATTAAAGTCAGCATTTAAAATTAGTTTAATTCTTTTATATCCTAATGTCTTATCATTTTCATTTAACATTCCATCAAATGGTGATCTTCTTAATATCATTTCATAAAACATTATACCACATGCCCAAATATCAGATTTTGATGCATCATAACTGAGTTTACGTTTAAGACTTTCTTCCATTTCTTGTTGAGTTTCTTTATTAATTTTTTGTTTATAAATAACACGTTTATAAATTTCTGGTGAAACATATTGACGAGTACCACATAATGTTTCAGCCTGAAAATCTTTTCCAACAATTCTTCCTAATCCAAAATCTGTTAATTTAGCTATTATTGATAATCCTTGTTGTTCAATAAGAACATTTTCTAGTTTAATATCACGATGAACAATAAAATTTTTATGAAGAAAAGAAATAGCTTCTAAAACATCTTTCATAATGTTTTTAAGTTGTGTGTTTGTAAGTTGGTGTTTATAAAGATAATCAAGTAAACAACCTGTTTCAATTAATTCCATTATAATAAATGACCAATGTTCAGATTCCATCATATCAATTACTTCTACAATATTTGGATGTTTAATATGTTTTGTTATTTCAAATTCTCTTTCATTTTTAATCATTTGAATTTCATTTTTAATAGGAATAATTTTAAGTGCTCTTTTCTGTGATTTTTGGTTTTTGGTTATTACTTGAAACACCTTTCCAAAACTACCACATCCTAACAATTTACCAAAACTATATTTTTCAAATAATTGTGTTTTTGAATTAATTACATTAAATGTTAATGTGTCAACAAATAAAAATGAAACAGGTTCTACTATTATATTTTCTTGTTGATTAACTTTAACAACATAAATAACATCAAAGGAATTTATAACTGTTTCACTTCTTTTTTCTAATCTTTTATTTCCGTCATTAATAAACGTTCCATTTGAAGATGTATCAGTTAGTATAAAACATTGACTTTCATTATTTGGTTGTCTTCTTGTAATATTAAAATGATTACTACTTATAATACATTTGGTTTTATCTATCCTTTCTCTTCCAACATTTTCTACTTCTTCTTTTAATAAAATATTAGGTGTTGTTGACTCTAATCCAATAAGAATACCCCATGATGTATTACTCATTTCAACCTTTTTTTATTTGTCAATCTTATAAATTTTTTCTTTTTTTAATTTTCACCTAATACTTTTAAAAATAATCGTGGTTTCAACGAAATAATTGTTTTATTTTTATTTCTAACACTAATAAGAGAAGTAAATTAAATGAAAAGAAGAATTCAAAAAGGGATGATTACAGGTAATAAAAATCTGTTTAAATAATTTTCTTTATGTAAACTAAGATTTTAATAAAAAAAGAAATAATAAAAATAGAACAAAGAAACAGAACTTGATTCTTTACAAAAGATAAGTGGTTTAACAACATTTTTTATTCTCTTTAGAAGGTTCAGTAGAGATAGCGACTTTTGAAGTAGATACTTCAAATTGAGACTGTTTCGGTAAATTTTCTGATTGGACAATTTTAGTCACAAGGTCTCTAAAAGCAGCTTCAACTTTAATATTTCTTTTGGCGGAAGTTTCAAAGAAATCAAAATTTCCTTCATTTGAGAATTTTTGACCTTCTTCTGTTGAAACAACCCTTAGGTCTTCATCAGCCAAATCAACTT